TTTGTTAGACTTTAATAACCAGTATACTGAAAAGAGGAAAGCATCAGCAGCCACATTTGTCTCCTAGTCAGGAATTAAGGTAGGAAAATCATGATCCAGAGATGCCTGCCCAAATTATCACAGCACTAGATAAAGTGCTTTTTAAAACATAAAAGACACTGCTCAACCAAAAAAAGGAAATTAAAAGAAAATCTTCTCTATGTACCAGAATAAGGAGCCCTGGTTTCTAATGGTTAAAATCTTGGCTGCTAACCAAAACATCCACGGTTCAAACCTACCAGCCACTCCATGGGGGAAAATAATCGGCAGCTTGCTCCAGTAAAGACTACAGCCTAGGAAACCCTAGGGGGCAGATCTACCCTGTCCTATATGAGTTGGAATCTACTCGACAGCACACAACAACGCGTATCAGAATGCGACAGAGTGCACAGCTCAACACAAATACACACAGCAACACATTATCAACATTTTGTTTTCCAACTTCTCCTAGAGCTTCCAAGTAATCAGACAATAGTTTTTACCAAATGCTTTGCCACTATAACACTTGAATTTCCATCTTTCCAGCCTCCAGTTTCTTTGCTGTTGGCTGCCGAGTCCATAAAATCACACATTTCTGCTTTCTGTTGTGGCAGCATCCCACTTCTATAGATCAGTTTCTGTATAAATCAGGATGGGGTAGTTTACATTACAATATCAAACAACCTCAAATCTCAGTGACTTAATATTGCAAATAATTATTTCTCACTCCTGCTACACGGCCACTGTGTTGTTAAGGAGGCTTGGGTTATCCTGGTCATCCAGGCAACCTGAATGACAGAGGCTTCCTCGAGACACAAGCTTCCACAATTGCTGCCAAGAAAAGAGCTCCCTGTAGTGCTTCTCATTGACAATTAGTTGCTTCTACCTAAACATGACACATGCCACTTTCACTCACATTTAATTGGTCAAAGCAAGTCATGTCATCTCTCCAAACATCAGAGGAGGCAGAAAAATGCAATTATTTCATATATCAGTAAGGCACAGGACTGGAGTATCTGTGAAGTCCTAATGGCCACTGGATTTCCCAATTTCTTTTTCCCCCAGTTCCTCTACTAATCGCAGGAGAGTGTCTCCACTTATTTACAATAAGCTAAGCCTTTGGGTAAATGGGGAACCCTGGTGGTGTAGTGGTTAAAAGCTATGGCTGCTAACCAAAAGGTTGGCATTTTGAATCTACCAGGCGCTCCTCGGAAACTCTATGGGGCAGTTCTACTCTGTTCTATAGGGTCACTAAGAGTCGGGATCAACTCGATGGCAGAGGGTTTTTTTTGCGTGTGTGTGTAAACGTCATCTCAAAATGCTTCCCTCCAACCCTCCAAAGCATGACAATAGGGTCACTAGAGAGTAAAACACAGAGATAAGAGTTAACATAAATATCATTGTATTGCTTGTTTTAACATATTTTTCTTTTCTTTTTTTACTTTCTTGCTTGTTTTAATGTGTTTTTCTTTTTTTTTTTTTTTTTTTACACTTCAAATGAGTGAAAATGGTTTTTGGAAGCCCCTCTGAAAAACAGGACAATATATGGCATTTACCTGGATTTAGAGTCTTAGATCGTTAGTTTTTTTAATTATCAAAGAGCTAGAAAAGCACTTTGGAAGAGAAATTCCAACATATTCCTCTCTTTGCCATTTAGCATTTTCAGACACAGCCACATTTGAGTCTCCTTCCTGATATAAAAGCCCAGACGCTATAGCAGCCTCATCTTTGCACAATTATGGAAAAAAAGGAACTATTTTCTCCACTGTATAGACCAAAAAACAAACAAATAAAAAACACTCAAACACATTGCTGTCAAGTTGAGTCCAACTCATGGTGACCCCATATGTGACAGAGAAGAACTGCTAAATAGAGTTCCCTTAGCTGTAATCTTTACTATTTAGAACTCTCTACACAAGAGGAGCCTGAGTGGCACAGTGGATAAGTGCTTGGCTACAAACCAAAAGTTCAAACCCACCAGCCACTCCATGGGAGAAAGGTATGGCAGTCTGCTTCAGTAAAGACTACAGTTTAGGAAATCTATGGGACAACTCTACTCTGCCCTACAGGGTCACTATGAGTTGGAATCTCATAGTGTTATGAGTATAATGGGTATAATCTTTACAAAAGCAGATTGCCAGGCCTTTCTTTCACAGAGCGGCTGGGTGGGTTCAAACCCCCAACCTTTAGGTTAGCAGCTAATCACAAACCACTTGTGCCACCCAGGTTCCTACTATACAGGCACATATCATTAAAAGTCAATGAAAAACTCAGTCACAAGGTTGCAAAGTGGTTTCTAATAGGCATGAGCAATTTAAAGCACATACGAGTAGATAAGAGGTAAGTTTACTAGGAAAAAAAATTATATGTTGTACTGCTTAACTGCTGCAGATAGTAACATCACAACTTATGAAAGCATTTCTTTGCAAAATTTCTTCTTCCCCATAGACTTTTCATACTAATCTCTCCTCAACTAGGACATAACCAAAAGAAATACCTCTTTTTGGGTAGGTGATACACAGTATGTCTTTTACCTCATCTAGAACCTTGCCACTGATTTCTCTATTTTATCTCCTAGAGCTAAGAGGAAAAACATGTCTTTTATACTTGCTAAATCCCTTATATCTAAATAGTTTGAAGAAAAAATTCTTTGCTTCCTACATATTTTCCATATTTAACTTTCTGCATGAGATATCCCTTTTTTAAAACCACAAATAATACTGTTGTTAATACAGTCTAACTGTATAGAAATGGATAAAATGGGGGAAAATGTTAAAGAGACATTATAGACTTTTCTCCAGTTATTTTATGCTTGCCATGATTTGAAATACTACTTTTCAAATATAACAATGAAATTAATTTCTCAAATACATTATCTAGTTATCAATAACTTTACAAAAATAATTTCATGACTGTAAGAATTAATGGGTCTTAGCTTGCCCTCCATTAAAGAACAGTATCTATTTGTCAGTGGCTAATTAAACTATTATTATTTTAAAAACATTTAAGATATGCTCTCTAGATTACTCATTGGTCCTATATCATCATATATGCCAAAAATAAACTCATTCAAAGAAAGAGATTAATACTATATAGACCTGAGTAATAATATTCAAAGAAAAATGTACTAAGATGCTTCCAGAAAAAGCTGGTATGAATTCCTCTTCTCTGAAATAGTGATTGTAATTATCACTAGCTAATGACAAAACTTACAGGAGCCTGCAGATTACTATGTGCAAGGTTCCCCATTGCCAATAAATATACAAGTGACCTTATTAATTAGTAGTGAGCAATCATCAATGGACTGCACTTGGGGATACACCAAATAATATAAAACTTGGGTAAAAATACTTAGTGGATATTGTCTGAAGAGAGTCTGTAAAAAGTGTTGATATTAGAGTCTATCTTCTTTTAAATTATGATTCTTAAAATTCCTCTAGAGAATTCTGTAGGACGTGGAGTCCCAGAATTTCACTGTTCTTATTTAGCACCTTTACCTAAAGGATTAAAGTGAATCATTCGGAAATTGGCACACCTATGTATTCTTTGTTCTGCTAGAGGCAGTCTAATGTAAAGATGAAGAACTGGAGGCTCAGAGTCAGACACCTATGCTGATAATAATAGCTCCTACCCTATAGTGTTGTAAGGATTAAATGAGTAAATATATAGAATGTAAAGTGTTTAGGACAGTATCTAGGATAAAACATACTCTCAATAAATACTTGCTATCATTATTATGGAGCCCTGGTGGCACAGTGGTTAAGAGCTTGGCTACTAACCGAAAGGTTGGCAGTTGAATCTGCCAGCTGCTCCTTGGAAACCCTACGGGACAGTTCTACTCTGTCCTATAGGGTTGCTATGAGTTGGAATCAACTCGACAGCAACGGGGTGGTTTGTTTTTCTTTTTATCATTATTATACTGTATATTATTCAGATAAGCTATATGGAAAGCTTAAAAATAAGAAAACATATGGAGGTTAGATGGCACCATAAAAATAGGCCACACTATTCACAGACAAGATGTGAATAAAAATCTACAAAATCACATTCATTTTTACATTATTGAAAAATCCACTTATGTTTACCTGCTAAGAACTGAGTTCAAAAAGTCATATGTCTAGCAACATTTAATGTAGTGATACAGCACAAAGATACCTTAGAGTGTATATTTTCCCAAGTACTTAGTTAATATAGTGTTTGTAGCTTTTACATGAAAAAAAAAATCGACTGTCAGAATTGAATCTAAGAATAAACAATCTGTTTCAAAAGGCAGGTGAACAGGATGGAATTTACCAGGCACACACTATCATCTATTATGTTTCTGAGTGTTAGTATACATAACTTTTCTTATATCAGGTTGAATCCCTTCGCTTTGACAATGCTCACAGCCAGATGAAAGTTTCTTGTTGTTTCTACGTTCCTATCTTTTTTGTTTAAACTTGTTTGAATACACATAAATATGGTGAATCCACAAAAAATAAAGTTCCATAAGATACGGATTTTTTTTTAAGTTTTAATTAATCTCGGGCTAGAGAGCTAAAGGAAGCTACGTAAAGTAGACATGCCAATGAGTCAGACTAGGTTTGTGAAAAGGTTCCTTCTCATCTAAATCCATCGGATCAAATTCACACCTTATCAAATATACTGGAAACTCAGTATTCATTGGAGACAGACTTTTATATCACAATTCATTGATGAAAATTACAGCTTATTTTTGATGAGCCAAAAACCTACTTACCTCTGGAAAAAATTTATCACCACATTAGCAGAGCCTCTCTCGTAAATGTGTATACAACAATACGTGAACAGAAGTTAATTCCTATAATAATTAGGATAATGGTTTTAATCATTTTACTGGAGCATAGTTTCAACTAAAAGTGCCTCTCTAGATAGAATTTTGTATATACAAGAAAAATCACATCCAACTCCAGTCCTTTAGTGAATGAGGCAAAATATAAATAAATAAATAAATGATGTCTTACCAGAATAAAATGATCCTAACCTTTCCTTTCTTCCAGAAAGCTCTTGCAGATTTTCCCCAATCAGGATAGGGTTTGTCCTGAAGCATCATATCAGTGACCTAAAGCAATGAAAAAACTTATTAACCACTTCTAGGAATCTTAAATTTAGTTTTAAATATAAACCTAACATTTACATTCTGTTGAGAATGAAATATGTATGTGCTTTAACATTAGAATATATGCAGGGATAAAAGTGAGAATATACTTTAATTTAAAACTTTAGTAATTTATTTGGCATTACAACTAAATAACCAAATATTTGTCATTTAACATGTCAAATATTCATATTTTTTAAGTATCTATCAAGATTATCCTACATAAAAAATGAGATGCCCTTGAGTTAATATTAACATCTCCAGACACAAAAATATACAACAAATGAAAGGCTGTATTTTTCTTAAGTTCGCCTAAGTCAGAAACTCCAAAATCCAAATATCCTCTTATGTGTCTAGATTTTTAGTTATGTTAGTAGTCAGAATATAATCTTCCCTTCTTTCTCGTTTTTCCTGACGTGTCTGTCAGTTTGTCTTACTTTGGGGCCTTGCACGTTGTTGTGATGCTGGAAGCTGTGCCACTGGTATTCAGACACTAGCAGGGCAACCCATGGCAGACAGGTTTCAGCTGAGCTTCCAGACTAAGACAGACTAGGAAGAGAGACCCGATAGTCTACCTCTGAAAAGAATTAGCCTGTGAAAACCTTATGAATAGCAGCGGAACATTGTCTGATATAGTGCCGGATGATGAGCCCCCCAGGTTGGAAGGCACTCAAAAGATGACTGAGGAAGAGCTGCCTCCTCAAAGTAGAGCTGACCTTAATGACGTGGATGGAGACAAGCTTTCGGGACCTTCATTTGCTGATGTGGCAGGACTCAAAATGAGAAGAAAGAGCTGCAAACACACGTTAATAATTGGAACGTGGAATGTACGAAGTACGAATCTAGGAAAACTGGAAATTGTTAAAAATGAAATGGAATGCATAAAGATGGATATCCTAGGCATTAGCAAGCTGAAATGGACTGGTATTGGCCATTTTCACTCAGACAATCATACAGTCTACTATGCCGGAATGACAACTTGAAGAGGAATGGCCTTGCATTAATTGTCAAAAAGAACATTTCAACATCTAGCCTGAAGTACAACACTGTCAGTGATAGGATAATATTCATACGCCTACAAGGAAGACCTGTGAATACGACTATTATTCAAATTTATGCACCAAAAAGTAAAGCTAAAGATGAAGAAATTGAAGATTTTTACCAGCTCCTGCAGTCTGAAATTGATCGAATATGCAATCAGGATGTGTTGATAATTACTCGTGATTGGAATGCAAAAGTTGGAAACAAAGAAGAAGGAGCAGTAGTTGGAAAAAATGGCCTTGGTGATAGAAACGATGCCAGAGACTGAACGATAGAATTTTGCAAGACCAATGACTTCTTCATTGCAGATACCTTTTTTCACCAACATAAACGGTGACTATACACATGGACCTCGCCAGATGGAATACACAGGAATCAAATTGACTACATCTGTGGAAAGAGACCATGGAAAAACTCAATATCATCAGTCAGAACAAGGACAGGGGCCAACTGTGGAACAGACCATCAATTGCTCATATGCAAGTTCAAGTTGAAACTGAAGAAAATTAGAACAAGTCCACGAGAGCCAAAGTATGACCTTGAGTATATCCCACCTGAATTTAGAGACCATCTCAAGAATAGATTTGACCCATTGAACACTAATGACAGAAGACCAGACGAGTTGTAGAATTACATCAAGGACATCATACATGAAGAAAGCAAGAGCTCATTAAAAAAGACAGGAAAGAAAGAAAACACCAAAATGGATGTCAGAAGGGACTCTGAAATTTGCTCTTGAAAGTCGAGTAGCTAAAAGCAGAAGGAAGAAATTATGAAGTAAAAGAAATGAACAGAAGATTTCAAAGGGCAGCTCAAGAAGACAAAGTAAGGTATTATAATGACATGTGCAAAGAGCAGGAGATAGAAAACCAAAAGGGGAGAACACGCTCAGCATTTCTCAAGCTGAAAGAACTGAAGAAAAAATTGAAGCCTCCAGTTGCAATTGTGAAAGATTCTATGGGGAAAATATTAAATGATGCAGGAAGCATCAAAAGAACATTAAAGGAATACACAGAGTCATTATACCAAAAAGAATTGGTTGACATCCAAACATTTCAACAGGTAGCATATGATCAGGAACCAATGGTACTGAAGGAAGAAGTCTAAGCTGCACTGAAGGCATTGGCGAAAACAAGACTCCAGGAACTGACAGAATATCAATTGAGATGCTTCAACAAACGGATGCAGCACTGGAAGTGCTCACTTGTCTATGCCAAGAAATTTGGAAGACAGCTACCTGGCCAATTGACTGGAAGAGATCCATATTTATGCCTATTCCCAAGAAAAGTGATCCAACCAAATGTGGAAACTACCAAACAATATCATTAATACCACATGCAAGTAAAACTGTGCTGAAGAGCATTCAAAAGCAGCTGCAGCTGTATACTGACAGGGAACTGCCAGAAATACAGGCCGGATTCAGAAGAGGACATGGAACCAGGGATATCATTGCTGATGTCAGATAGATCCTGGCTGAAAGCAGAAAAAACCAGAAAGATGTTTACCTGTGTTTTATTGACCATGCAAAGGCATTTGACTGTGTGGATCATATCAAATTATGGATAACATTGCAAAGAATGGGAATTCCAGAACACTTAACTGTCTGTGCTCATGAGGAACCTGTACGTAGATCAAGAGGCAGTTGTTTGGACAGAACAAGGGAATACTGCATAGTTTAAAGTCAGGAAGGGTGTGCATCGGGTTATATCACTTCACCATACCTATTCAATCTGTATCCTGAGCAAATAATCTGAGAAGCTGGATTATATGAAGAAGAACAGGGCATCAGGATTGGAGGAAGACTCGTTAACAACCTGTGTTATGCAGATGACACAGCCTTGCTTTCTGAAAGTGAAGAGGACTTGAAGCGCTTACTGATGAAGACCAAAGACCACAGCCTTCAGTATGGATTACACCTCAACATAAACACAGATCCTCACAACTGGACCAATAAGCAACATCATGATAAACAGAAGTTTGAAGTTGTCAAGGATTTCATTTTACTTGGATCCACAATCAACACCCACGGAAGCAGCAGTCAAGAAATCAAAAGATGCATTGCATTGGGCAAATCTGCTCCAAAAGACCTCTTTAAAGTGTTAAAAAGCAAAGATGTCACCTTGAAGACTAAGGTGTGCCTGACCTAAACCATGGTATTTTCAATCTCATCATATGCATGCAATAGCTGGACAATGAATAAGGAAGACCGAAGAAGAATTGACACCTTTGAATTGTGGTGTTGGTGAAGAATATTGAATATACCATGGACTGCCTAAAGAACAGACACATCTATCTTGGAAGAAGTACAACTAGAATTCTCCTTTGAAGCAAGGATGACGAGACTACGTCTTACATACTTTGGACAAGTTGTCAGGAGGGATCAGTCCCTGGAGAAGGACTTCATGCTTGGTAAAGTAGAGGGTCAGCAGAAAAGAGGAAGACCTTCAGTGAGATGGATCGACCTAGTGGCTGCAACAATGGACTCAAGTATAACAATGACTGTGAGTATGTCGCAGGATTGGGCAGTGTTTCGTTCTGTGGTGCATAGGGTCGCTATGAGTTGGAACTGACTTGATGGAACCTAACAACAACAGCATATGTGAGTTATGGTACTTATACCCAGGTTTATGTCATATTTATTCTAATTACCTCCATTTATTCTAATTACCTCCATTCTCCCACCTCCACACCACGTTCGAATTATTAATGGATGTTTGCAGCTGTTTCTTCTCATTTTGAGTCGTGCCACGTCAGTAAATGAAGGTCCCAAAAACCTGACTCCATCCACTTCATTAAAGTTGACTCTACTTTGAGGAGGCAGCTCTTCCCTAGTCCCTTCTGAGTGTATTCCAACCTGGGGGGGCTCATCTTCCAGCACTATATCAGACAATGTTCCGCTGCTATTTATAAGGTTTTCACTGGCTAACTCTTTTCAGAGGTAGACTGCCAAGTCCTTCTACCTAGTCTCTCTTAGTCTGGAAGCTCAGCTGAAACCTGTCTGCCATGGGTGACCCTGCTGATATCTAAATACCAGTGGCATAGCTTCCAGCATCACAGCAACACGCAAGCCCCCACAGTATGACAAATGTTCTTCTGCACATTTTAAAATTATAGGATTTTATTTTCTCACTCAGAATAATGCCCATGAATTGTATTTTCAATTAAAAGAGATTCATGATATTCTTCAAAATGGGCAAAAGGAAGATTATGGAATATAGTTTATCTTGAATTAAGTGAATTACATTGTTACTAAAATATGAAGAAAGGTGAAAGGAGAGAGATTTAAATTCCAAATATTCTTGGACATAAGAGTTTTATATCATAACCCTCCTTGAGGAAAAAATTGCCATTCTTCCAAGTACAATGATTTTAGGTACTACTCCTTTGTAACCTTCTTGAATAACAATTTTTGTGTCAAATTTTATTTTAACAAAACTTCCAGGTTAAGTAAATAAATACATAAATATTTCATGTTTCACCAGCTTTTTAAAAGATTTAATTAATTCTGCTCAGCAACATTTATCCTGTTCCAGAAAGAGTGTGCATGGTAATAAATATTTTCAAGGAACAGAGTGATTACTAGGTGGGTTTTATTCAATATCCAATGTTTTCTCCAGAGTACTTTCTGGGAAATACTTATTATATTTTCTAGAAGGAGGCAATCTGCTGCTGTATGACCAATTATTACAGCAGCATGTTTTGTAAAAATGACATTCAAGGATAAAGCATTTTCTCAGGAAAGTGGCAAGATGAGGGAAGAAACATTCTGTCTGATGCCAGACAGCTGGTCTTTTTCACCCTCAGTTTCAGCTCTTTAAGTTATTTCATCAGATCAATGTCAGGTCACTTGCAGCTAAATTGACAGCAGCAGAGACAGTCATTAAAGGGATGCATTCAGTAAAGAAAAATCCAATTACCTTATG